AGGCGGCTTCCTGGGAAAAGGACCTTGGAACCTGGGGAGGGCAATGAGGGGCATGGCATGTGAAAGCCACACCCCCTGGGCGGACCGGGGGCTGAGCAGGCTTGGGGCCGGGTGGGGACTGTGCTGGAGAAGGAGGGTGTGTGGGTAAATGGGACACAAGTGAGTGTATCTGGGCTACAGAGGACACCAGGAGACTACGGGCACCTGCTTGCCCCATGGCGGCGGCAGCCGTTAGGCTACCCCGTGCCCAGGTGGGGCTCCACGGGACATGGGGTACATGGAGGCTGCACATCCCACACCGTGCTGCCGCAGACCTCTGCCAAGTGCTGCCTGCTGTGTGGGTTGGGGGCTTCCTTCTTTTTCTGCTTTTCTGAGTCAGGGTCCCAGTATGTTGCTCAGGCTGTCCTTGAACTTGAGCTCCTCCTTCCTCGGCCTCTGGAGTGCTGGGTTAGAGGGGAGGACTGCCACATCCGGTCCACAACATAGTGGTCTTGGTATCAGGCCGATGCATAGCCCCTGTTCCTCCTGGAGTCTGCTGTGGCTGGAAGCAGAGGTGGAGCCAGAAGCTGAGGCAGGAGCAGGCCCTGTCTGTCCTGCAGGGCCCACACGGGTGGCCTGTGCCTCTCAGTGCTGCCCATCTGGGGCTCTGCTTCCTGTTGCCTGCATGGCTTGCCCTGGCCTCCGGGCCCTCAGCATCTGTGTCCTCTGTCTCTGGCCCTTTCCCTTCACCGCTGGGGCAGCTGGGCCATTGCTTACTCGAGGAAGCCAGTCTTTGCCGTTCTGTTTTCCAAGACTGGTGATCAAACCCAGGTGCTTTCTGCCACTGAGTCGCATCCCAAGCCCTATTTATTTGTTTCAAGGCAGGGTCTCGCTAAGTTTTCCAGGTGGGGCTTAGACTTGTGACCCTCCTGCCTCAGCCTCCCTCAGTGCTGAGAGTACAGGCATGCAGGGAAGCCTTTGTTCCTGCCAGCGGGCGTGGGTGTGGGTGCTTGTCCAGACCCCCTCGGGGTTTCTCTGTGTCCCTGCCCGCCTGGAGCAGGGGCAGTGCCTGCCGCCGGCCTTGTTGGAGGAGCTGCTGAACTACGGGTGGGTGCACCCTGCAGGAGGCGGTGGGCAGCCACGCAGACTTCAAGGATGGGAGTGAGAGCACGTGGCCATGTACACAGGGTGTGCAGCAGTGCAGGGAGGCTGCCCTGAGGTGGCTTCAGGGACAAGAGAGGGCCCAGTGGCCGAAGGAGCACATAGGTGGGTGTTGGGGTGCGGTCTGGGAGTGGGGAGTGGGTAGGAGGAGGAAGCAGCCGTGGGACAGGGTGGGTGGGGACACAGTGGGGACTGAGCTGGCCTGGAGAGGCTGCATGGGACTCAAAGGGCTCGGAGGCTGCCGCTCCTCCGCGTCCCATTTCCTCTTCCCGTATGAGTTGTGCAGGAAGCGGCAGGTGCCTGTCACCTCCACTGCTCTGGCCAGCGCCCCCTCCTGACCGCCGGCCCCTTGCAGCTTCCTGTCCCCGACCTGGCAGGGCCTTCCAGACTCAGTGTTCAGTGCTGCTGAGCAGCTGGTGGGACCCTGCACCTGCAGTCCTCCTGGCGCCCTGAAGGTGCACCTTTACAGGAAGCCAGCGAGGACGCTCGAGGGTGCGAGCTGTCTTGCGGGTGAAGAAATGGCACCATCTGGTGCTGTGCCCAGGGCTGGGTCCCAGTGCTCTTTCCTGCCATACACTGCGGCAGATGGGCAGCCAGCTAGTGACTGAGGGGGCCGAGGAGACCCAGGGTGCATGGGGAGGCCCTCACCGCTGAGCCGCACCTGGCCAGGCTGAGCTCTTTTCCTGGGACAGGCGGAAAGGCAGCGCACAGCCTCTGCCCGAGGAGAGCTGCTCTCAGGCTTGCTCCGTCCCCAGGGCCCTGCAAGGAGGAGTAAGGAGAGCGCGTGCAGCCAGGGTGCTGAGGGGAGGAGTGACGGGAATGTGACCCTGGGAGCCGGTGCCGCTCTGGGGGGCACGAGGGGTGCTTGGGGCCGTTCCCTCGCTCCCTTGCACTCGGGCCCTGGAGTCGGGTTTTCTCCTGGGCAGACTGACTTCGCTGCCCGGGCCTAGGACACTCCAGTGGCCCTATGTGCTAGGGGGCTGAGGCAAGAGGAGCACTTGCAGGCGAGTTTGAGACCAGCCTGGCCCACATAGCAAGACCCGTCTCAAAAACAGCGAGGGAGCAGAGGGGAGCATGTGAGCGTTCCTTCCGGAGTGGCCAGCGCTTGGTGAGCACCAGTGCCACTGCGCAGGGCTGGCATGAGGACCACAGTGGCTTGAGGGGCTGGCCCTGGGCTCCCTCCCAGCTGGCCCTTCATGAGGAATGCGCTTGCGTGTACGCGGCCCTTCCTGGTTACCAGCCTCAGGGTGGTAACCTGGTGCCCCCCGTTAGAGGCTGCTTGTGGGTAGGCATTGTGGCCTGGCATAGGGTGGGTGAGGGGCACCAGGCCTGGACAAGTAGGGCCCTGGCTTCCGTCACCAGTGCTGCGGAATACGCAGGTGTTAAGCGTATGGAGGGTGCTCGCTTCAGCAGCACATAGACTAAGTGTGTGGAGGAACAGGTTGGGCAGCACCTCGTCAGGTAGGCCAGGAGCGCCCCTTTCCAAGCTGGGCTGTGGGCAGGGGATGGCACCTGGGCAGCTGGTCCCTAGGCCAGGAGGCGATTCATGCTGAGATGGGCAGCGGCACTGTGAGTTTACCAGGTGCCCATGGGAGTGGGGGGGCACACATGTGTGCGCCCGTGTGTGTGTGTGTGTGTGTGTGTGTGTGTGCGTGCGCGCGAAGGTATGTACGTCTGCTCCTGTGTCAGTATGCAGATGGTCTCGCTTTCTAGGTTCTGTTTTGGATTTTTGACATTAAGATGCATGAAAACGATATGGGTCTGGATCTGTTCCTGGCCCAGGGCTTGGGCTGGGAGCACAGGGGGTGGGCACTGACCCTCCCCTTGGTGGCACACACAGGGCAGTGTGGGGGCTGTGGCCTCTCCCGGCAGTGTTAGGGCAGGTGGCCCCTTCCTCTCCCAGCTGGTGGCCTCCACTGTCTCCTCTGTGTTCTGTGCGCATGCTCCTTGGCCTCTCAGAGAGGTTAGGTTGAAGATGGGGTTGCACACTGAGCTACAGCTCTAGCCTTTTTTTTTTTTTTTTTTTTTAAGACAGGGTTTTGCTAAGTTAGGGGATACTCAAACTTTTGATCCTCCTGATTCAGCCTCCCAGAGTGCTCAGATTACAGCTGTGTTTAGCATTTTTTTGGGCCGGGAATTTAGCTCAGTGGTTCCACTGCCTGCCTCACAAGCACAAGGTCCCAAGTTTGATCCCTGGTACAAAAAAAAGGGTTTTGTTTTTTGTTTTTTGTTTTTTTTTAAAGGCATAAAGGGGTTTATTAGAGTTTTAAAAACATACGCTCAGGAGCCGGGCATGGTTGTGTACACCTGTAACCCCAGCACTAGTGAGGCTAAGGCAGGAGAATCACTGCAAGTTTGAAGCCAGCCTGGGCTACGCAGTGAGTTCAAGGCCAGCCTGGGCTATATAAAAGATCCTATTCCAAGTAAATAGGTGAAAGTACACATTCAAAGACAAACGCGGAGTGCAGGCCCTGGAGTGGCGCAGCACGGCATGGTGCTAGGCACAGGCGTGTTTTGGCAGCGGATCTCTGGAACCGGAAGTCCGCCGAGTTTCAGCTTGGTCACTGCAGGAGAGGCACCCACGTGGAGAAAGGGTGGTCTGAGGATGGAAGGAGAAAGGCAGGGCCCATCTCTTGTAAAGATGGGTGAGCTCATGGTGTTTCGCTTCAAGACAGCCTTTAAGTCTCTTTCTCTGGTTTTTTTTGTTATTGTTGATGGGTGAGCTCATGGTGTTTCGCTTCAAGACAGCCTTTAAGTCTCTTTCTCTGGTTTTTTTTTGTTATTGTTTTTTGGTACCGGGGATGGAACTCGGGTCCTTGAGCTTGCAAGGCAGGCCACCGAACCGCTGAGCTAAATTCCCGGCCCCACTCTTTCTCTGTTTGATGGTCAAGTTTTTGCCCCTGATTTTGTCAGCTAAACTAATTGCCAGCTTGTAGTGTGTTTAGGGTTTGGGTGTGGTGGAGGAGAGGAAGCAGGGAAAGCCCTGAGATCACAGGTAGGTCGGGCCTGGCTAGCTGTGATTGTCCTGCAGTTGTAGTCTTCCTTTACACACGTCCTTCTAGAGTGTGGTCTTCCTTGTCTCCTTCCCACCGGTCTTTCTGTCTTATATCTACCCCCGCTTGATCCCTGATTCCATTTTTGTTTTGGGGCAGGTCTTACACTGTACCTCAGACAGGTCCTGCACTTGCTGTATGGCCCAGGCTGGACTCCAACTTGGGGTGATTGTCTTGCCTCCTGAATGCTGGGAAGACAGGCGTGGCCACCATGCCTGGGTAACCCTTTCTTCATGCTGAGACGTTGCCTGTCATGTCCCGCAGCTGACCTGTGAAGTCCCCTGTGGGCTGTGGTGAGGCATCAGGTGGGCCCTTCCTCAGGGTGTGCACGGCAGTGTGCTGTGGGAGGAAGCATTTCTGGTCCCAGCATTGCGGGGGCCGCCGACCCATCCTTGAGTTCCCAGTGCTGTTGGACTGGCCCCAGCTGCTGCCTCAGTGTCCGGAATTGACTGTCTTCTGTGTTGGCTGTGCTGTGTTACTTAGGCATCTATGGTACAGTCCTGGGGAGCGAGGTCAGGGAGTGCTGAGCAGTTGTACCGGCCTGCCCTCCCCTGACCTGGCCGGGCTCCGTGGCGTCACCCAACCCTGTGACACGTGGCTGTCCCGACATGGAGATCGCTCCCCTAGTCCGGGGCTGTGCAGCCCCCATGTGGAAGGGCCTCTCCTGCCCTGCCCTGTGCAGTGTGTTCCCGGTGGGGACATGTGTCCTCCCCAGGGACACGGCTGTGCTGGCTCAGGCCATCTGTGTGCTCATGAAGCACCCGGCCAGCCGCACCCTGTGTCCCTGTCACTCCTGGCAGTGTTCTTATGGCGGCCCTGCAGCGGTTACAGGAGGACTGGGTGAGGTACGGTGTGCGGCGCGGGGCGCAGGCTGGTGATCCTGGCCACTCGGGAGGCCAAGGCAGGGAAACTACAAGTGGCACAAGTTCAGCGCCAGCGTGGGCAACTTAGTGAGACTGTCCCGAGAAAGGAGAGCAGAAACGCCACTGCAGGGTAAGGGCGTAGCTTCGGGACAGCGCATGCTCAGCGTGCACCCAGCACCACACCATAACTCATGGCTGGCGCCTTGGCACTGACATTGCGCCGTCTCGCAGGAGTGCACATACGCGTGTCCTTGACTCTCCTGCGGTTCTGTCCATAACCCATGGTGAATCCGAAGTGTTGCGAGTTGAAAACACATTTCTGTCGGGCAGGAAGGCACACTGTAAACCCAGCTCCTTGGGAGGCTGAGGCAAGACCGAACCGTGAACAAGGTGGGTGCAGCCCATTCGAGTGCTTGCGTGCGCGCAGGCCCTGAGTTCCATCCCCAGCACCACCTGAGAGCCAGAGCCCAGTCTTTGACTCTGCCCGTGGTGGTGAGCGTGGAGCACAGTGCACAGGCTCACTCACTGCCGCCAGGGCTGCGGGAGCGAAGGGAAGGGAGGTCTGGCTGCGACCTCAGGAGCAGCTGCACTTTCAGCCTTTCTTTAGGGCATCAGAGGGGGCAGCAGCCTGACCCTGTTCCCCGAAACCAGTGCTGAGCCAGCCCCACGCCTGCTCGCAGTGCTGAGGCCCCGTCCTGCTCGCCGAGAGCCTCTGCTGGAGAGTAGCCGCTCACAGTGCCACGAAGGAGGCACGGGGACAGAGGCCTGTTCCGCAGAAAGATGGGGCTCACAGCGGCAGTCAGACAAGGCCAGCCGGGTGCTGGGCTCTGGAGGCTGAGGCAGGAGAGTCACACATTCCCTCACTGCCTGCCGTGGACAGTGTAGTGACCTAGTGGGGCCGTCTCACAAAACAAAAAATAGAAGGCAGGGCCAGGGATGCAGCTCAGTGGTGCTGCATCTGCCTGGCAAGTGCAAGGTCCTGAGTTCAATCCCTGGTACCGAAAAAAGAGAAAGAACAAAAAACCAGGGCTAGGGATATAGCTCAGTGCAGAGGCCCTGGTTTCAGCCTCCCATTCCACAGAGGATCAGAAGTTCCTCAGTTGGATGATTACAACTCTGCATTCTAAAAGTTAATAAACAAGCAACCATTTGTTTTTGTACTGTTAGTGATGTTGTATCTGTAATTACAGCAACATCAGAAGCCCTTTTTTTGAGACAGTCTCGCTTTGTAGCCCAGGCTGACCTCAAACTCACAGCCATCCTCCTGCCTCAGCCTCCCCAGTGCTGGGGATGACAGGCCTGCACCACCACACCTAGCTTATTTGGTACATTTTTATACTTCTTACACTCACCCTGCTGTGGTAAACACCAGTTTGGCGAGTGAGAAAGTGCGCCGCGCTTTGTGACAGGGCCTCCTGTGCCGGGACAGACCATGCCTCGGGTAGGGGCAGGATCAGGTGGGCGGCTGGCACGTGTGATCGAGCTGCCCCAGCCAGGCCAGTGTGGAGGAGGTGCGCGTGTGTCTGCCTAGCTCCTCCTGCCTGGCTCCCCCTGCTCAGTGGCCCAACCTGCTTTCCTCGCTCCTGGCTCTCCGACCCTGTGAGCTTTTGGTGGGTTTGGCAGAGTTAGTAACCAGCGCTTTGGAGACTGGGCTCCCTATGTGGCTGAGTGCTGGGCTGGGCTTGGACTTGCGATCCTCCTGCCTTGGCCCTCCCGGTTACCAGCACCCCTGGGCCTTCCTTCACTGGTGCGCAGTAACTGGGAAGTGCTCTCTTGCTTCCTGTGGGGCCTTTGCCAAGTTCAGGTCTGCGACTCTGGCTGTGAGCTGCTTTGCCCTGAGGTATGGCCTGTGGGCCAGGAGCCTGCCAGGCCTTTGCTGTCCTACTGCACCCTGCCACCGGCCCTGTTCCTGACGCCTGGCCAACCGTCCTTCCTGTTGGGCTGCCCAACGCCTCAGGGCGAGGCTGGTGCATCCATCACCTGAGAATACTCAGGCTGCAGGTGTCACCACCCTGGTCCTCTGCATGCTCCTGGGGGCCTCAGCTGCTCGTCCTGCCCTTCCTTGTCTTCCCTGTCTGTGTCTGCTGGCCGTGCTGGGCCCAGCGGCCCTGTGCTCTGTTGCCCTGGCTTGCTCTGTGGAGAGAGTGGGGCCTGTGTGGCGTGGTGCTCGGATGCACGTGGTTTCCCTTAGCTGGTGTCCTTCGGGATGACAGAGTGTCTGGAGCCAGTGACGTGCAGTGCAGTCTGCTCTGTCAGGAGGCTGAGGCAGGGGGACTGCTTGAGCCTAGGTGTTCAGGGCAGGATTGAAGTGGGTGAGGCTCCCTGCTGCGCCGGCGTGTCTGCCTCTGACTGGTGTCTGTGTTTTGGTTACAGATCCCTGGTGGAAATCCGCTGTACGAATCATACTATAAGCAGGTGAGTTGGACCCGAGGCCTGCATGTCTGCCTGTCTGGGGGCTGGAGCAGAGCTGCGCCGGCTGGGAGTGAGGGGCTGCGCCAGCCTTGCCGCCCCTGGAGCTGGTGCCGAGGAGTCAGTGCTGCGTTGCCCTCCCTCAGGTAGACCCGGCCCACACGGGCAGAGTCGGGGCAAGCGAGGCTGCGCTGTTCCTGAAGAAGTCGGGTCTGTCGGATGTCACCCTCGGGAAGGTGGGTCAGCGGTGCAGCACAGTGGGGCAGAGGGTGCTGGACTGTGCAGGCCGCCCTGGGGCGCTCACAGCCTCTGTGTCTCTGCAGATCTGGGACCTGGCCGACCCGGAAGGCAAAGGGTTCCTGGACAAGCAGGTGCGTGTGTGCAGTGCCCTTCCACCCACTGGGCTGGCAGGGCTCCTGGGAGGCGAAGGCTCTTACCCAGGCAAGCAGCGCTCCAGGTTGGCCATCTTTAAATGCTTTACAACCTTACCAGCGCTTAAAATGCTTTTTAAGACTTTTTAAGTCATGTTGTGCACTGTGGTGCACACCTGTCATCCCTGCTTCTTGGGAGGCTGAGGCAGGCAGATCATAAGTTTGAGTCCAGCCTGGGCTCTTGGTGAGACCCTGCTTTGAAATAGACTTCAGAAAGGGCTGGGGATGCAGTTCAGTGCAAGCCCTGGGTGAGTCCTCGGTACTAAAGGCCAGAGCCAGAAAGACCCTAGCATGTGTTCTTAGACCGGTTGGCCAGAGGAGAAAGCCACTGCAGCCGTGGCGGGGTGCTGTGTGGCGGGCAGCACAGGCCTGGGGGCCGGACTCGGGTCTGCTGTTCCTGGTGAGGGTGCTGGCTGGAGAGTCCAGCGTGCCCTGAACTGCGTGTCCACTCTGGACACCTCTTCCCCTGGTACTGTAAACTGAACTCAGGACCTTGCACTTGCAAGGCAGGCGCAGTGCCCCAGAGCTACTTCCCCAGCCCTGTTTTCTTTGTTTTGAGACAGGGTCTCACTAAATTGCTAAGTAAGCAAGGTGGGCATGAACTTGAAATCTTCCCCCCTCAGCCTCCCAGAGTGCTGGGACAGTAGGTAGGTGGGCACCAGTTATTTCTTTAAAAGCCTGCAGGCATTTGGTCTGTGGCTACCGTCCGCCGCCTTGCACAGCCTACCTGAGTGGCAGGGCTCATAGTTTGGGAGCTGCTGTCCGATTGTCCATTCGTCTCCTCCTGGAGCCGCTGTCCCCGGGCCGTGGTCTGATGATGCCTTTGGGTTTCAGGGCTTCTATGTGGCACTGAGGCTGGTGGCCTGCGCCCAGAGCGGCCACGAGGTCACGCTGAGCAACCTGAGCCTGAGCATGCCGCCGCCCAAATTCGTGAGTGCTGGTGCTGGTGCTTTGTGGGTGCGTGCGTGTGCAAGCATTTTTCTCGCTGCCGCCTCACCTCCCTTTGTTGGTAGAGGTGAAATCCATGCGGCATGGCCTCCTGTCGTGAGGTGCACGATTCCGTGGTGTCCACACCCTCTCCCCGCCGGGCCTCCTCCCTCCCTGCTGGTCACCTGAGCGCCCCGGCCGCGTGGCTGCCATGGTGCGTGTGTGCGAGGGTGCGTGTACCAGGGTATGTCCTCCCGGGACAGCCCCGTACCAACCCGGGGGTTTCCATCTCTCCTCAGCACGACACCAGCAGCCCCCTGATGGTCACCCTGGCTTCTGTGGAGGCCCCCTGGGCAGTGCGGGTGAGTGATGGGGATGCTCAGGGCTGTCCCTTGTGTGAAACTGCCCTCTGCCGTGCTGTGCAGTGTCATACAGGCCGGGCACAGTGGCCCACGCCTGTCTTCCAGCTCCTCAGGAGGCTGAGGCAGGAGGGTCACAAGCTCAGACCCAGCCCGGGCAGCTTTTTTCTCCAAATAAAAAAGAAGGGGCTGAGAATATCACCAGGCCGGCGCCCCGTTTCCAGGAAGGAGAAACAGAAAGACTGTAGTCAGAGTCCTGCCTCCCCTTGCTCATTTACAGTGCTGGAACCTGGGCTCTGCACAGGCTTGGCAAGCCCCAGCTCGCACATTCCCACTTTTACTGATTTTTTTAAAATTTTATTTTCTGTTTGCTTGTTTTTTGGTACTGGAGATCGCACTGAGAACCTTGTGCTTGTGAGGCAGGCACGGTGCCACTTATACCCCTGGCCGTTTTTTGTTTTTTTACGACTGGGTCTGCTTTGTAGTGCTGACAAGCCTTGAACTTGCCACGATCCTCCTGCCTCAGCCTCCCAAGGGCTGAGATGACAGGCGTGCGGTGCCTGGCTCACTGCTTCTTAGCCCAGCCCAGAGAACACTCCTGCAGAGGGGAGAGCCCCCCTTCATGGCCTGGCACCCGAGGGCAGCGGGTTCCCTGTTTGACACGGCGATGGGGTGGGAGGCTTCTGGTCTGACCAGGATGGGCAGCAGCTTTGTCCTGAGAAGCTGACCCGGCCCCACTCGGCCATGTTTCCCTGGGACCTTGCACTGCACCCACGCTGCAGCACTGGACTGAGCAGTGCAGGGCAGCTGTGGAGAGAGGCAGTGCCCGGCTCCCACGGGGAAGGAGTGGGTACTGCTGGGACCCACATGGCTGGCCACACTTGGCATGGATGGTGCTGGCTTTTCTTTCTTTTTTTTTTGGTACTGGGATTTGAACTCAGAAACTTGTGCTTGCCAGGCAGGAGCAGTTCCACTGAGCTAAATCCCCAGCCCTGTCTTTTCTTTTCTTAACTTAGTTTTACTTTATCTTTGTGGGGATGGAGTCCAGGGCCTCACACATGCCGGGCAAGAACTCTACCATGGAGCCATACCTCAGCCTTAACAGTTGTAATTGTGTAGTATACATGTCGTCAGTATGGGAATGGAACCCAGGGCCTTTGCACTGAGTTATACCCTCAGCCCTTTTTATTCTTGGTTTTGCAACAGAGTCTCGCTAAGTTACTAGGTGCTTAGGCTGGGCTGGAATGTGCGATCCTCCTGCCTCAGCCTCTTGGAGTGTGGGAATGATGGCTGCATACCAGCAGGCCCAGCTTTTGGCTGTTGGAAACAGAGGCCCGTGTTTAGAGTTGACTTTGGTTACCACGTGCTTGGCTGCTTGTCCCAGCGAGCCTTTGGGGATCTGCGGGAGTCACCTGTCCTTCGGGGAAGGGACCTGGCCCTATGTCCCCCAGGGCAGTGCTGGGGCAGAGCAGGCCTTGTACAGCTCCTTTCCTATGACCTTGGCCTTGGACCGAAGGCCCCAGGGCCACTCCGCTTGACCCAGGCTGGGTGGGACATGCATGGTGCCCTCTCGTCCTCACCCAGGTGGAGGAAAAGGCCAAATTTGATGGCATTTTCGAAAGCCTGCTGCCTGTGAAGGGCCTGCTGTCTGGAGACAAGGTCAAGCCGGTCCTCATGAACTCGAAGCTTCCTCTCGACGTCCTGGGCAGGGTAAGTGGCTGTGGCGCAGCTCCTGCGTCCTCGCCTGCGTGGGGAGGTGTGGGGCAGCCCCTCGCCATCGTGCTGGTGTAGGCCTCAACGTCCTTCTTTTCCTGCCTTTAAGGCTCACAGCAAAGGTACTTGGAACTGTGATGCGCGTAGGGAACACTGGAGGCATTCCTCTTTTGTAGGGCTTCAGCCAGGTGTGGTAGTGCCTCTGTGAGGCTGAGGCAGGAAGATTGCAAATCAGAGTCTAGCCTGGGCAATTTAGTGACTCAGTGAGACCCTGTCTCAAAACATAAAAAGGACTGGGGCAGCTCAGTATGAAGGCTCTGGGTTCCACTCCCAGTATCTGCAAAGAAAACCAAACCAAACCCCGCAAAGCCATTTTGTGGCTGCGACTTGCGGCTGCTTTCGGGTGAGGCCGGCGCGTGGTGTGCTGAGCTGAGCCTGCCCCTGGGAGCAGTGAGGCGGGTGGGGCGGGCTGGGGGCTGGGCAAGGGCAGGGGATACGGAGCACCAGGGCTGAGGTGTCCGCCGGCCCTGCTCCGGCCCATGTGCGCTCCGCTTCTCCCGGGAGAAGCCAGGGCCGGTAGGGGTGCAGGGGCCTGAGAGGTGCTGTGGCGGCCTCTCTGGGAGGGGCCTGCGCTGCTGGGCCACCCGCGTGAGGCATACTCAGTGGGGCCTGCAGCGTCTGTGGGCCCTGGGCCGTGAGGCTGCCATTGGCCCTGCAAGGCAGGTGGGGCCCGAGGCGAAGGGGAGACCCTGCGCCCCTTCTGTGTGATGCAGGCCAGTGTGACAGACCCCGGGAGCGGAGGCCGAGTCCGTGCACGGCCCCTCCCCACCCGGTGGCAGCCGCAGCTCCCCGTGTTCCAGGCTGACCCTGGGCGCATCTCGAGTGGTCTTGGGCAGTGGCGCCTGCAGCCCTGCTGGCCACCTCTCGGGTCTCGTGCTGCCCTGTAGACCCCAGGCGCGGTGGGAACCATGGAGCACGTGGGACAGCGGGACACCACAGGTGGATCGGGCAGCGGCACCTGGGTCCTAGGCGCACGGCCCCGCCGGGCCCACCCTGGCCCATCCGACCTACCGTCATAGTCACTTGGGCCCTGGATCATGTCCATTCTGCTCTGCCTTGCAGGTCTGGGACCTCAGCGACATTGACAAGGACGGGCACCTGGACCGGGATGAGTTCGCTGTGGTAGGCCCCCCTCCTTCCTGCAGGGATGTGTGGCTCCTTGGGGTCCGGGCACGTGGGCTTCTCTGTGTTTCCAAGCTGTTCCAGGGCCATGGAGCCTGCAGTCACGGGGAGGCTTTGCACGCTCCCTTGCCCAGGGTCCCCAGCCCGCATCGCCTCTGCCCTCCCTCCCCGCTCCGAGCACCTCTGTGTGCGCAGGCAGGGGGTCTCTGACCCAGCCAGGTGCCAAACACCTACAGTCCCAGCACTCCGGAGGCTGAGACAGGAGGATGGAAAGTTTGAGCTCAGCCAGGGCAACTTAGCAAGACCTGTTTTTAAAAAGTCTGGGAATGGGATCACCGAGGGGCCACCAGAAAGGGCAGCTGGGGCTGGCTGGCTGCACTCGGTGTCGGAGCCTCGGGTCTGAGGGATGACGAGCTGCCATGGCCGGCGATGGGGCCGGGAAGCAGTTCTGCAGGCGCAGCACCAGCAGGGCCCCGGGCCGGTGGGTGTGACGGGGCCAGCCGGTCAGGGTCAGGGTCGGGGCCGGGTCATGTGGCCCAGGTGGGTCTGGGCTCCAAGGAGGGGAACTCAGGCACCGTGGGGACTGCTAGGCCCTCTGAGGGGTATAGGGGGAGCTCGGGTTGGAATATGGGGTCTGGGAGGAGCAAGGCTTGCAGGGAGGACGAGCAGCCCGCATTTCCCCCGAGCTGGCCGGCCGTCTTCTGCCGGCTCCTCAGCTTTCTGAGCAGGCTGAAGGGAGCTGATTCGGGTCGTGCCCTGGAGAGTTGGGCAGTCAGGAGACTTTCCGGGCGAGGCTGTGCCTGTTGGGGAGATCATTTTCCACAGAGGACTTGTGGTTTTGAGCCACTTGGTGAGCCTTCTTGTTTCCCTTGCGAGCTGCTGCTTGTGCCTTGAACGCAAGTAGAGGGTTGGATGTACCTTGTGGATTTCCGCGTTCCCACTCTCTGGTTTCAGCACCAACTCCAGAGTGTCAGCAGGCGGAAGCAAATTTTTTAAAAGTTTTTTTTCCACCCTAAAAATTAAATACTTAGGTGCAGCTCCAAAGCCCTTCTCTGATTGGTGTGGCACTGAGCCCCACAGGGCCCTAGGGAAGCTGGAGACGTTACATGGAAAATGCCTGGGGTGCGATCAGCCACTGCTGAGAGCCGACTAGAAACAGGCAGCATGCAAGATTTCAAAACGTAATCTGGTCTGCCCTGAAACTAAAGCCTGAGCTATCGAAAACACTCATAAGTACAGCACAGTGGTTTGTGCGCCTGTGTTTGGAAACACACTGTGTGCGTGGTAGAATTGTACATTTTAGAGTTCACGGCACACTCATCCGCGTGGTCGGGAGTGAGTTTCAGAGGGTGGTGGTCGGGAACCTGTTTTACTCCACTGGGATGGGACTGTCTTGGACACTAAGAAATTCCATCAAAACCAGTGTCGGGGTTGAGGATGAGGCGAAGATTCTGGAGTGGAGGTGGATAAGTCCAAGAAGCAACAGGGACAAGTGGTGTGGAGCAGTGGGGTCCAGGGAAAAGGAGCCGCACGCACGGTAACTTGTGTGTTGCTTTCAGGTCTTGAGATTTTCGTTTCCGCCCTGTCCAGACTCTAATTAGATCTTAACAATTAGGTCAGATACAAGAGCTGCTGTTTTGTGTAATAACCTTTGGATTGAAGGAAAGGGGGGCGGAATGCGGCTCCGCTGTGGAGTAGCCAGTGTGTTTGGGTCCAGGATTATATCTCTCGTACTGCAAAGAGAAAAGACGATTTCCACCGAACTCCTCTAGAGTTAAGTTGCAGGTGTTGTGTTTCATCCCAAAATACTCACGTCTGTATTTCTTGAGCACAGGGAGTCTCCTTGGGTAGCCATTGTCCAGTGTCAAGGACTGAACCTGCTGTCTGATGACTGCAGGTGCCTCTGTTCCGCTGGGGACCCGGCTGCAGCCGGCCTGGAGGCACAGACACCGAGCAGAGCCGTCTCGGGCCCCCCTGCTGGCAGCAGCCGCCCCTCGTGGGTGAGGACAGTGCCCATTTGAGTAATAATTGAATTAATTCAGGCCAAAAACATTAACGGCCGCATCACCTTTTGTGTCACAGGGTTTGTTCGTGACACTTCATCAAACTAGGTGTTCCTGCCAGGTGTGGAGGCCGACACAGGAGGGCCACTGTGGGTTCCGGGCCAGCTGGGACTACACAGTGGGACCATGTCTCAAAAAACCTACACCGCAGCCTCAAAACTGGGGGTCCTGGGATTGCCAGGCAGTTGTAACCAGGCAGAAGATCTGCACAGAGCTAGCAGAGAAGTGAAGCCTTTTACACCCTTTGGAAAACATAATTGTCTTAATGAACGCTGTGTTCATGTTACTAAGACTATAGCCAGGTGTGGTGGCTTTATAATCCCAGCACTCCATAGGCTGAGGCAGGAGGATCGCAGTGAGTTCAAGGCCAGCCTGAACTACACAGTGGGACCCTGTCTCAGAAAACAAAAACAACAACAAAAAGAAACATATTACTAAGAGTGAAAGAGACAAATTTGATCTGTTCTCTAGGTTGTAATAAATACACGTGTGTTTGTTTGAGTTTTCCAGTAAAACATTGGGTGCATTGTAGGTGTACATGACGGTAACAGTCATCATGGGGAATTGGCACCGGTATATGATATATTCTGCCTCTTTTTTTCCCCATCCCCTCCTTCACAAATATGCATACTTTTGGGCTGGAGATTTAGCTCAGTGGTTCTGTTGCCTGCCTCACAAGCTCAAGGTCCCAAATTTGATCCCTGGCACTGCAAAAAACAAACAAAACATACCTTTGATTAATAAAAACCTGTAGGGCTGGGGGTTTAGCTCAGCGGTTCGGTGGCCTGCCTTATAAGCACAAGGACCCGAGTTCAATCCCCAGTACCAAAAAAGAAACAAAAAAAACCTGTCAAGCAAACCTCTTCTTACAGCCATCTTTTGTCTGCAGGCACTTGCAGTGCTAAGGGCTGCCCCGGGGGCATGGTGGCTGTGCAGAGCCTGGGCAGAAGCGTGGTGTTGACTGAGCTGTCTGAGGGAGTGAGGCTCCCCCGACTACAGGCAGGCTCTCAGCGGTCTCCTCAGCAGCTGAGTCTGCTGGCTTCCGCCTTAGCACTGGGAGTGTTTTCTGCGTTTCTCCCATTATCTTGTTCTCACTGGTTGTCCTTTATTGATTTGGTTTTTTGGTAGCAAAGTACAGATCACATAAAATTCACCACCCTGAGTTCTTTTAGGGTGCCTGGCCTTGAACTTGGGATCCTCCTGCCTCAGCCTCCTACATGGCTGAGATTGATTGCAGCATACACCATCATGCCTGGCCAGTCTAACCATTTGTAAACATTTTTCTTTTGCTGTGGTGGTAAAAATATGGTGTCAAGTCTGCCATTTTATTGGTACCGGGGATTGAACTTGGGACCTTGCCCTTGTGAGGCGGGTGGTGGAACCACTGAGCTAAATCCCTGGCCCAATTTGCCATTTTAACTTTGGGTGTGTAGTCTGGTGGTGTCGCAGACACTCATGGTGCACAGATGTCACCACTGTCCACCTCCAGGATTTCCTGGTCTCCACTCCTCTCACCTTCTATGTTTCCTGTTCTTTGGCCTGCACTTGGCTTGCTGTCCTCGCACGGCCCTGAGGTCAGCGCCCAGGAGCGGGCCTAACCCCCAGCCTCCTGAGCCCCATGTTTGCATTTCTGTTTGGTTTTGGTCATTGCCCGCGATTTCTGCCAGGACCCATGTGGGTCTGTGAATGCCTGTCAGTCCACGTTGCATTTCCCCACTAGCTGTTCACTGAAACCTGATTTGAGGCACAGCGGCCTGGGCCTTCAGACCCAGCTACTCAGGAGGCCGAGGCCAGCATGGGTATCCATCCCTGAAGAACGGCCCCCAAGCCATCTCAGAAACACCAAAGCCCTGTTTAGAAGGGGAGAGTTGCGATTTTGGTTTGTTTCCGTCCCTGACTTGAAACACACTTTTCCATCTGTGCTCAGACAAGTTTGCCACTGCAGCGCCTGTCCCTTGTGCCCGCAGGCCATGCACCTGGTGTACCGGGCCCTGGAGAAGGAGCCTGTGCCGTCCGTCCTGCCCCCATCGCTCATCCCTCTGTCCAAGCGCAAGAAGCCAGTGTTCCCTGGGGCCGTGCCCGTGCTGCCTGGCAGCCCCCCGCCCAAGGACAGCCTGCGCTCCACACCGTCACACGGCAGCGTCAGCAGCCTCAACAGCACGGGCAGCCTGTCCCCTAAGCACGGCCTCAAGCAGGCGCAGGTACGGCGACCACGTGCTCCGGTCACCCTGGGGGCCTCCGGGCTGCGCAGCCTGCCCCTTCCCGCACAGCGCCACACAGCGCAGCCGCCTCGCGCCTGTGCTGCAGCCTGGGTGTTGGGCAGGAGCACCATGCTCTGTGTGGCGGCCTTGCAGCAGAGTGTGTGGAGGTCCGGAACTGTTCGCCAGGTAGCTTCACACCCAGCCTCCTCTGTTGCTCTAGAAATGAAGGACGGGCAGCCAGCCGTATCCCGCCAGCCTCAGCGTGGGGACGGCAGTGCCAGGGGGCTGCTTTTGTGCCCAGGACTGGGCCTGTGCGTGGACTACACCACCCTTTTTATGTTAGGCGGTCTCACTAAATTACCAGACTGGGTTTGATCTCCAAGTCCTCCTGCTTCAGCTTCCCAGAGTGCTGGGCTGGCATCAGAGCCAGCACAGGGGCTGTCTGGCTAGAACGGTGCTGATACGATGTGGCCCGGGCACCTGTGCATCCATCTTGTCACCACCAAGGATGTGCGTGTGGACACCTGCGGGTGTGGACACCTGCGGGTGTGGAGGGGCCCGCCTCGGCGGGGCGTGGGGCAGGGAAGGCTCCATGGGCACCCAGCAGCCTGCTGAGCCACCTGCCTGGGCAGATCCCTGGGGAGGGAGGCCACCCGCTCCTCTCCATGCCCCTGACGGGGGACGACGGGGTGCCGGAGACAGCCTGCACCCCAGTGCTCAGGACCAACCTGCCCACTGAGCCCCCTCCACCCCTGCAGCCCGCGGTGGCCTGGGTGGTGCCAGTGGCCGACAAGATGCGTTTCGACGAAATCTTCCTGAAGACCGACCTGGACCTGGACGGCTATGTGAGCGGCCAGGAGGTGAAGGAGATCTTCATGCACTCGGGCCTCACGCAGAGCCTGCTGGCCCACATCTGGTGAGCCGGAGGGCAGCGCTGAGGGCTGGAGGGCTGGGAAGGACGGTTCAGGATAGCCAGTCTTGGGGGTCCTAGTGCCCCTCCCTGAGAAGCACCTGGTGAGCCCTGGAGCCGAGAGGAGCCGTGCGGGGCTTGGGCAGCATCCTGGAGGCTGGGCCCGGGTTGCACGTTCCAGCCCAGTCTAGGCAACTGACACCTTTCCTTTTCTCTTTTTTTTTTTTTTTTTTTTTTTTTTTGGTTATTTGAGACAGGATCTCACTATGTAGTTCAGGCCGGCCTTGAACTAACTGTGGCCCAGGCTCAGAGCTTGTCTCAAAATTAAAAAATTAAAGCTGGGGCTGTAGTTTAGTGGGAAGGCCCTAGGTAGGTTCAACCTTCTAGTTCCAGAAAGAAAAAAGTGAGCCTATGAGCAGAGCTTTGAAACTGGCTACCCTGGGCCACGCCCCAGATGGCCCTTTGGTGGTGGAGGGCGGGTGCTCGGTGCTTGGTCCCTCGGTTCCCTGAGGCAGAGCGGCCTCTGGGAGGGAGGCCTGGGGCATGGACTTGTGACCTGTGTGGGTTCTGGGAGCCGCCTTGCACGCTTTTTCGGGAAGGGGCAATGAGGGGTCCCTGCAGGCAACAACAGGGACAGGTGAGGGGGCCACGGGTGGAGGAACCCCGAGCCCCGTGCGCCGCCCTGCGCCATCTGGGTGCCGGGCGAGCGTCCTCGTGCCTTGGTGCCGGCTTCCTGGCTGGAACTGGGGCAGCACAGGGGAGGGCTGGGACCGCGATTTTGCGCCAACTTGAGCACCTTTGGGAGAACTGGTGCCCAGGGACAGCGCCTCACGCGGCAGAGGCGGGGCAGCTCGGAGCCCCTCCGGACCTCACCTCGCTGCAGGGGTCAGGACAGCAGCACCTGTGAGGAGGGCGGGTCTGGGGAGTGACGGTCCCCACGGCGCTCCCAGGGCCCTGGCCGACACCAGGCAGATGGGGAAGCTGAGCAAGGACCAGTTTGCGCTCGCTATGCATTTCATCCAGCAGAAGGTCAGTAAGGGCATCGACCCCCCGCAAGCGCTCTCTCCGGACATGGTCCCGCCCTCGGAGCGAGGGACCCCGGTCCCGGTGAGTAGCAGGTTCCCCCACGCACGCACTTCCCACACCTGCCACCAGGCGGCGCTGGTGAACCGCGCTGCGCCCTGGTCCCGCCCTGCTGTCCGCTGTTGGGTCTCACGCTGTGCCTGTGTCTCCCTAGGACAGCGGGAGCTCCCTGGGCTCCGGAGAGTTCACTGGGGTGAAGGAGCTGGACGACATCAGCCAGGAGATCGCCCAGCTGCAGAGGTGTGCAGACCCCACACCCCAGTCCTGTCCCTTCCCCCACTGGGTCCCTTGCCCGGCCCCTCCTCGAGAGCCTTCCCTGGTCACCTGGGCAGGGCAGCCGCGCCATGGTCTCTGCCCTCCAGTGACCACTCACCCGGGAGCGGGGCCTCAGCACCAGGTATCGGGCTGTGTGCCGTCGCCCTGGACAGGTAGATGGGTGCACACGTGAGCTCATCGCCCTCAGGCCCGTTGCCCAGGTGGCTCCTCCCTGTCTGAGCCCTTGCGGCCGACCGAGCTCCCCATCTTTCCCGGGCCGTGGCTCTTCGTCGCGTGGCCCACCTTCCAGGTCGGTGAGGGCCCAGCTGTGACTGGCACCTGCCTGGCCCTGCCTGGCCTCTGCTAAGCTGGCTGCCTGGCTGGGCGGAGGGCTGCTCTTTGCTGCTCCAGGCAAGAGGCTTCCTTAGCGCCCGTCTGAGGCCCGCCCTGCTGGCCTCCGAGGGGTCACGCGGCAGGTGGTGTTGCGGTACTGAGCACACGGTGCGTGGGGGCCAGGTCAGGCTCAGGCTCGCCTTAGATGGGGCTCTCTTGCTTTCCCCACTGCTGAGACACCGTACCTGACGTGCAGTTACAGGGGAAGGGTTATTCGGCTCAGTTTGTAGAGGTTGTGCTCCATCGTTGGCTGGCTGCGAGGTGAGCCAGCGGCAGTCTCTGCCAAGGCCCAGATACCCGAGCCCCCACTTTACCACACGCAGCATCCGTGCAAACCGTGTGGCCACCTGTGGTGAGAGCTCACGGTGTCCTGCGACCTCTGCCACCACGGATGGGCTGTGTGGGCAGAGCCAGAGGTCGGGTCAGTCACTTGCTGAGGTGGCGGCTGATCTTGGGAATTGCTTCCGTTGTTCAGAGAGAAATACTCCCTGGAGCAGGACATCAGAGAGAAGGAGGAGGCCATCAGACAGAAGACCAGCGAGGTGCAGGTGCGCGGCTCACCTGGCTGGCCACCCAGTGCCAGCTGCAGTGGGTGCAGCCCAGGGCCTGCCATGTGCCAGCCGCACCCCAGCCCTTCACGTTTTACCTTGATTCAGGGTCTCTGTAAGTTTCCCCGGCTGGGCTGGGGCTTGTAGTCCTCCTGCCTCAGGCTCCCAGAGGGCTGGGATGATAGACCTGTGCCGCCACACCCGGCTTGTGCATTTTTGCCCTGGGTTCTTGTGGACACCCCAGTTACGCCAGTCTGAAGCCCTCGCCCCTTCCCCAGGAACTGCAGAATGACTTGGACCGGGAGACCAGCAGCCTGCAAGAGCTCGAGGCCCAGAAGCAGGACGCCCAGGACCGGCTAGATGAGATGGACCAGCAGAAGGCCAAGCTCCGGGACATGCTGAGTGATGTCCGGCAGAAGTGCCAGGACGAGACGCAGATGGTGAGTCGCAGGCGGCCTGGCCTCTGTTGCCTGCCCCCTTCCAGCCCATCCAGAGGGACATGGCCCCGGTGCCGAAGGCCCGTGCCCAGCAGCCATGCCCACCACCTGGCCTGGCCCCTCATCCGTCCCGGCATCCCCACTGCCCCTTGTAGACGAGGGTGCTGCAGCCAAGCACATGGGAGAGCCCCAGTGTCCCCTTGGTGGCCCCCGGGATGCTCGTGGGCCTGGCTGCACCTGCTCCCTTGGCTGCAGTGTCGCTTGAGGCTGTGGTGGGCAGCTGCTGGTGGGATTGTCCCGAGCGTATTGGTGGTGGGTCTGCGTCCCCATGATTTGTGTGGTGCCGGTGACCGGACCCGGGGACCCGGGCCTCTGTTCTGAGCCGGGTCCGCCGCGCTGTGGGCTGGTGGGCCTTGCCGTCTCCCTCCTGAGGGGCTGGGTGGCTTCTTGTTTTGCCTCCTGCCCCGTGGCCTCGTGGCTGGTGTTGGAGTCGCTCCCTCCTGTCCCGGCCCAGATCTCCTCGTTGAAGACCCAGATCCAGTCGCAGGAGTCTGACCTGAAGTCGCAGGAGGACGACCTGAACCGCGCCAAGTTGGAGCTGAGCCGGCTGCAGCAGGAGGAGACGCAGTTGGAACAGAGCATCCAGGCAGGGCGCGCACAGCTGGAGACCATCATCAAGTCGCTCAAGTCCACACAGGATGAGATCGGCCAGGTGCTGCGTGCGCGGGGGATGCAGAGGACACATCCACATGCGGGACGGATGGCAGGCACCACCCCCGGGAGAGGGGGACAGGCTGGCTGGGAGCAGGCGCCC